CTGAAACTGCTTAGCAAGCCAGAATGGGTTATATGCCTGTTCCTCTTAGGAAGAAACTTTCATTAATCTGCAGAAGAAAACGCTATCTGGCCTGATGTGCTCTGCTGGAAAGCATTCTCAGAGGTTCACTGTTAACCTCTGCTTTTCTGGGGCTTTGAGTCTGTATCTTTTTTTTTCTTTCGGAGACAGGGTCTCACTATGTCGCCCAGGCTGGAGTGTAATGGCACCATCTTGGCTCACTGCAGCTTTAACCTCCCAGGGTCAACTGATTGTCCCACCTCAGCTTCCCAAGTGGCTGGGACTACAGGTGTGCGTCACCCATGCTCAGTGAATTTTTTGTATCTTTTGTAGAGATAGAGTTTTGCTATGTTGCTTAGACTGGTTTCGAACTCCTGGACTCAAGCGATCCTCCTGTGTTGGCCTCTCAAAGCGCTGGGATTACAGGGATGAGCCACTGTATCTGGCCATATTCTGTATTTCTTATTACCAGCTTCTCCTTAGTGTGGCTGGTTCTTTTTGAGGGAGTACCATGTCCTGCGTTATCAAACCTCTCCACAGGGATCTAGTGTTTGCCTCCACTATGGCCTGAGGGCTTTCAATGCTTTCAAACCAGTTTCTACCAAAACAGCTGAAGTTACACCATTCAGGTAGTAGTGTAACTATGGACCCCACAGCTATTCTAATAGTGTAATCCTGGGTTTTAATTCCCCTGTTTTGTGTCCCAACACACATACTTAAAGCCCTAGACAGACTGGGGAAAATCTTCTTGCCACCCTTTCACAAGCAATTCCTGTGTAAGTATAAACATCATACCCTTAGATCCTAGAGCCTATAGCTGGCTCTGAAACACTCTAAGGTCAGTGGCATCAATGTCTTCTGGCACCTAGGCATTTCCCTGTCCTGCTTTAAAGCTCGTATGTACTTGAAAATATTTAACCAATATTGGTTATTTTAACCAATATACCTTAGGACTTTTTGGGGTGGGTGATCAGAAAGAGGCCAGGCTTAGGACCTTTTGGGGCGGATGGTTAGAAGTAGGCCAGGCTGCATGAGCTCAGGATACCATTCTGCCAGAATTGGGTTCCCTAAATGCAATTCTACCATATTTAAGTTCCATATGTAGCCACTTCTAGCTGTCATTTAGACTACATCTAGAATTATGTTCTTTGTAGCCTAAGATAATTGCTGTGACTCTTTCACTAACTCATCCTCATTCCAGAGTGCCACTGGGTGAGAAAGAGTTTATGGGTAGCCCAGGTTTGAGAAACCTACCCTCTGCCATCACTAGCAGGTCCAGGCAGTTACCCCAAAGAACCAGGTCACCTTCCTTCCCAAGGCTGCATTTTCTACACCAAACTAACCCTGCCCTCTGTTCTGTGGAAAGGAATCTGCCTTCCATTAACTTTTCCATGATTTAGAATTAGATGACTGCACACTGATGTTTTAGTGGAATGAGAGAAGCAAAGATGGCAAGAAATACAACAAGGGCATAACCACCTTACCACATCACAACCGTGGTCTGCAGGGAGTCACTGCATTCTCCGACAGCAAGCAGCCAAGAGAACAGCCACAGAAAGCGGCTCCAGCACATGACCCTGGGGTCTCCTCTGATCTCATTACAGCAGCTGACATTAGTCCTCACAAAAGAAACAGGAAATTTATGCCTGTCTTAGCCATGTAAAGCTCCACATTCCTTATTAACGAGAGTTTCAGCTTCTGAGACCACAGCCACCAGGATGGGGAGGAGGTCAGCTGTGCTCCCAAGAAAGAACTGTTGCTGCTGCCTCGCCCTCTTTCTGAGGCTGGATATACAGGCGGTGAGCCTGGGGGCCTAGGCTCTCTGCTCAGGTGACTGGCGGGAAGTTCCTTTTCTGCTAATGTCAACTTGCCTAGGCTCAGATGGTGGGGCCATTTCCTCTGAAATAGCACTGGGAAACTCACTATATGGGAGTCTTGAGGGGATCCACCTGCTAAGGTCGGAATTCCAAGAGAGAGACTGTTCTGCATAACAATAATCAGAATACTCTTGCCTGCATCTGTGAAAACTTTACTTAACTTGGAATTCCCACTTAAAACATTATTTCATATCCTTTAATTCAATCTTAGAAGTAACTGAGCAGCCAGTTCACGATGTAAAGAATGAGCTTCTAAACCAGAGTATGAGCAATGTGGAGCACAAGTTCTGAGCCAGAGTGATTTTGCCTCTCAGGGGACATCTGGCAATGCTGTAGACATTTTTGGTTGTCATGACCGGGGGCAGAGGGGGGGTAGAGGGTGCTACTGGCATCTAGTGGGTGAGACAAATGATGCTACTGAAGATCCTATCATGTACAGGACAGCCCCCATACTAAATTATCTGGTTCAAAATGTCAACAGTGCTGAGACTGGGAAACCCTGACGGGGAGGGAACATTCAAGGATACAGGTAGACTTAAAATCATGCCGACTCACAATCACATTATAATAATGTGGTATCATGCAACTTGGGGTACCCAAAATATAAACAATTAACAACCATAAAAATGTACCAGTTCTCTCCTTGAGCAAAGTAAAAGCTGTACCTTATGCAGAGTGAGATGATCAGAGTGCCTGGGAAGAAGTGGAGCAGCTTCAGTGTTAGACTGTTATCACCAACATCATCAGTGCCATGTTTACTCCAGGTCAAGGTGTGATCTGAGTGCCTACTATCAAAATTCAGTGGTGGCTATTAACAAAAGGAGTTTATGCAGGAAGTTCTATGGTCACTAAAAACTGGCTATATAAACCTAAGCATATCTAGGTCTGGAAAAAATTGTGAAATGTTTCAACTTTTAAAATACCAACAAAATATGAGGAACCATGTTGATGTTGACCCACATTCCAGGGTGGCTAAAAAAATAGCTGCACAATAGGGTTCTAAATAAATGCAGAATTGCAGAAGTGCATCATAACGAAAATAATCAGAGTGACTATTCTGAAATGCTCCCCAGTTCAGATTTTCTTCCTGTTTCCAAATATTCTCTTTCATCCACATGGCATACTTTCATTAGATTTAAGAACGTACATTTAAATAACCTACTCATTATTCTTTTATGAATTCTTTTACTCCAGCAAAAAAGGGGGAAAAATCCCCATCCGAGCAAAGTGAATGCATGTAAGCTAATTTGAAGGGAAAAAGAATTTCATGAATGATGTGACAATTTTTTAATGGACTGTTTTAAAGGCTTGTGGTATAAACAGTAAACAAAATTGATTCACTCACATTAATACTGTTTGCCATGATGTAAGAGTCGGGCTTTTTTTTAATGTGCCATAAGCTAAAGGAAAATAAATACTGTGGTAGGGAAAAATAATACCTTACTTGGCATTTCGAAGTCGTTGCTCAATTCTTCTTGAGCAAGGAAACCATAGTAATGACTTTTTTTACCTACCGCAATTATGGTACACCTTGCAGCAATTCTCCACAATATTTTCCTCCCTCCGTTCAAGTCCTGCTAAATCATCTCTGGAAACCATTAACCAAGAGCACGGTTCCAATTTTCCTGTTCTCCCTTCCCTGCTGCCTCAGTGTCATGCTGGCGTCAGGACAAAGCAAACTTGTATGACATCATAGAGCAAACTCATTTTCTGTAAACCAGCCCCTTGGTAGTTTACTGCTCGCTACTGGAACCCAATGCTGTCAACAGTGTGGTCTTTGTTTGGTGGGTGTTGCTCTAAAAATTTTTTTTAAAAGTTTCCCAACACCCCGTTTTTTTTAAAATAGAGGCAAGCTGCTGGAGGCGCCGTCCTCGCCTGGCCCATCCCACTCTGTAAACTAGACATTACCTTATATACAAATGACTCTAGGCATTCCTCAGTCTAGCTGCCTCACTGCAAAATTCCTATGCTCTCCAGCAGCAGGGCAGTGCGCGCTCCCCTGGCTTCCCCTCTTTCCTCTTCCCCCACCCTCCTCTTTTTCTTTCTTTCTTTTTTTTTTAATTTCCACTGCCTCACTATGTTTTTGTGTAAATGATCTCACATGACTCAACAAATCCATCTGCCTGAAGCAGGCCAAGTCTGGAGCCCTCCCAGGAGGGAGGAGAAGAATTGCTTTGTGGAAAGGACCTGGAGCTCTGCCCTTTCTCTGGCTCGAATTACCCGCCTGTCAGGCCTGACGGATTTGGCTAAAAATAAAAGGAAGCGGGCCGTGAAAAGCAGATGAATGGGCTCAGCAGTTCCTTAGATAACATAGGCCTGCTGTTGCCCAAAGCTCCCCAAAACAGAAACTTCAAATGCAGGGCTTCTGAGTACAATGATGTGGCTTCCAGGTGAATGGGGCCTGTCAAATCCACTGGAGCTGGGGGACAAGGCCTGGGCTGTGAATTTTGGTTTTAGAACTTCCGTGTGTGTGTGTGTGTGTGTGTGTGTGTGTGTGTGTGTGACAGAGAGAGAGAGAGAGGGGCGGGGAGGGGGGTAAGAGCGCCAATTTAGTATTAGAAGGTTCTCAGAGAACAGTAGAGTTCACGGGAATGAAGGCGTGGCTTGTGAAAAAAAAAAAAAGAAAGAAAAAGTTTTGTTGTTTCCACTACAAAATTATCCCTCTCCCTACCTCCAACACCAGACATTTTCAGCCTCTCTATGATGTCACTTCTCTGTTTAGAGCCAGCAAAGAGCTAAAAGTCCTTCTTGTAAGTATATGCCCAGCGCCCGCAGTGGGTATTAAGCACTTAGGTTGGCAATGTAATGACACACTGTAACAATCTGTAATATGAAGCAGTCAGCAAAGCCCTGGCTCTGAAAGCTATTTCTCCCGACCATTAACCATATGTTTGGCTCCTCAGATAGCCAAGCGGGTGTTCCAGCTTACCATCTGGTTTCTATCCACACAAGCAACTGCAAAGCACAGGCTATGTCCCTCTGGAGCTGCGTGTTTCTTTTTCTCTCTCTTTTCCGCTCTTCCCTTCCCCTTTCCTCCTCCCAGCTCCTTTGGTTCTCTCTGCTAAAGAATTCTCTGCCATTCATCACGTGCAAAGAAAACTTTACCTGACATGGCAGCAGCAGAGTCATTAAGAATGCACAGCTGTATTGTAAACACGCCAGAGGGCCATTTACCATCCGAGGAATCTGTACAAGTCAGGCTCTACCCCTTCCTCATCTCCTACTGAGTGCTGACACTTGATCCAGCATGTTAAAAATAGGTACATTCTTGAGATACACACACACACACACACACACATACACACACACACACACACACACTCACTCTCTCTCTCTCTCTCTCTCTCTCACACGCTCCCAAAGTTTGCCTCTGCATTCAAGTTGCCTGACGTCAGTCTCACACAGGATGACATACCACCACTGCAAATAACCAAGTTAACTATAGGTTTTGATTCTTTTTTCTGCCCTAAGGATTTCATCCCAAATGTGTATTTTTTTCTGACGTTTTTCCCCACCCCACAAAGAGCCCACATTGAAAGAGATGACACTTTAGAAGAATAAGAACATGCAGCTGTTTGTAACAAATTGACAACCTGCAAAACTTATGCTCATTTACATCTGCACTTTTATTTTTATTTATTTATTTATTTATTTATTTAGAGATGGAGTTTCACTCTTGTTACCCAGGCTGGAGTACAATGGCGTGATCTCAGCTCACCGCAACCTCCGCCTCCTGGGTTCAGGCAATTCTCCTGCCTCAGACTCCTGAGTAGCTGAGATTACAGGCAGGTGCCACCATGCCCAGCTAATTTTTTGTATTTTTAGTAGAGACAGGGTTTCACCATGTTGACCAGGATGGTCTCGATCTGTTGACCTTGTGATCCACCCGTCTCGGCCTCCCAAAGTGCTGGGATTACAGGCTTGAGCCACCGTGCCCAGCTGTACATCTGTACTTTTAATAGTACAGAGCAATCAAACAGAACCTGCCATCAGAATTTATAGAATTTTTTCACAATGTCTCCAGTATTTACCCCAGTTTCTCCTCTAAAGGATTGAAGGTACTTTGTAACTCTGTATATTTTTAAATATATGAAGATGTATTTGATATACAGAAATCAGGTTCTTTCTTCCTGTCCCCCTAAGAATAACGTTTGCATTATCAGCCCATTTTACTGAATTAGGAAATTAAAGTTAATTCTTTCCCACACTCTAAAAAAAGGGTGGGGGGCTGGTTTCTAACATACCAAGAACAAAAGGAGAATATCATTAAAAAGTGATTAACCAGAATGTCAGATTTTATCAACGTGGCAGAGCTACAGAGGATTTGTCAGGGAAGTACTGTTTATTCAGGCTAAAAAGGGTGCCAGGAAGGCCACTACCTGTGTAAACTTCTTAAACCCACTGCCCTTGTCAGTCCTCATTTCCATGATCTGAAATAGGGGTTGTGTTAGCTATTTCTATCAATAAGGGACATTAAAATTCTGCTGCATGTAGGTTTTTGGAGAGTGACAGAAAAGAAATTTTTAATTTCAGAAGCCTTAGGAAAATTGTCCACAGATGATGGCATCTATTAAATGCTGTTTGGGGTCTCAAAATCATAGTACAAACTTTAGATTGCATTCGCTTTACCCCCAAGAAAGACAATACAATACAGTTGAAAGACAATGACAATATAGTTAACAAAAAGAAAGAAAAATTAGAAATTTAAAACTTCAGTATTTTCATAGTTAACTACCTGGTTTTCTAAGCACTGCAGAATCATTTTATTACAGGTATTTGTGCTTTTCTTAAATACTGGTGCCTGGGCCCCTTTCTTCCAGCTCAATTATACAAGGATCCCTGAGTGGAGCGCCTAGGCATTACTATTTTTGAAAAGCTTCCCAATTTTGTGCAACTAAAGTTAAGAAGTCTTGCCCTATGGGAACTAACATGATAATAGAAATCATTTCATCAAAACCAAAATGAAACTTTTGGTATAGAAATGTAAATCAAATTTCGTAATAAAATGGTGGCTTTCCAAACTTGTTTAGAAGTGAAATCTTCAATCAAACAAAATCTTATATGAAATCCCTATAAACAAGATAGGTAAAAAGCAGTAATTTATACTGTCCTTTTATACTTTCGGTCTATACAATATTCATGGATTTTATAATTTTTTAATCATAGGCCACCCAGTGAGAAAAAATGCCATTTTATTGAACACAAAACCTGAAATTGAGGTTAAGGCTGAAAGGTCCAGTCCTATTAGGTGTTCCTCAGCATCTAATTTTTTCTATGGCCAATGGTTAAGATGATCAAAGTCTGATGCATATAAAAACAGCAGTGTGTGTAGCAGGATGAAATTAATTCATAAGTTCATGTAACAAATATCCATTATGTGGTTACTACACACTAGGTATTGCCCTCGGGTCATCAGAGAAATAAGTTGCAGCCTCTCCCTTGAGGAGTCTACTTAAGAAGGCACCTAATGGCAGAACAACAAGACAAGTACAATAATGGAGGTGCTGAGAGACACTGCATGGGAAGGAGTAGCTAATTCGGCTTGAGGAAAAATTCAGCATAACGTCATCAGCACAGGACAATTAAGTCCAGTCCTAAAAGTCTGAGCAGGATTTTTGACAGCCAAAAAAGAAAAGGAGGGACATTTCAGATAGAAGAAACTGAATGTGAAAAAAATTAAAACCCATAAATATAAACAGGGCTGGTGAGTCTGGGGGTTATGAGAAATTCTGCGAGGGACAGGAAGGGCTGGAAGATAAGGCCAAAAAGGTAACTGAGTCCAGGTTATAAGAAACTCTAGATGTCATGATACAGCTTAGACCAGTGCTGGCTAGCAGAAACACAAGGTGAATTAAACCTGTAATTTCAAACTTTCTAATAACCACATCTAAAAAGTAAAAAAAAAAAAAAACAGGAGAAATGTACTTAGTATTATTGAAAAAAGTATTATTTTAACATGTTATCAATATAAAAAGTATTAATGAGCTATTTACATTTTGTTCATACCAAGTCTTTGAAACAGGGTGTGGATCTTACACTTACAGCACATCTCAATTTGGACAAGCCACATTTTAAGAGCTCAATAGCCACCTGTGGCTAGTGACTACTATATTGGAAAGCACAGGCTTAGACCTTACTCTGCAGCCAATGCAGACCAAAGGATCTGCTTGGCTTTGTTTCATGAGACAATAGCAACAATGTGGAGAAGCTGAAGCACGGGGTCTGAGAGAAGGCTTTTTGAGTCCATGCAAGGGACACAGAGAAGAACAACAACAAGGCTCAGATGAGGGCAGTGACAAGTAGGATGGCATGGAAGAGTAAGAGTCAGAAGATACTTGTAAAAGGAATTTAGAAAACTTTAAATGACTGTATGTGATAGATCACATGAAGGACTCACAGAACCATTAAATTTTTTTCACGCTAAAATTTGTGCCTAGAATTAAAGGTCACTGATTGTATATTTAATATGAAGTTTCATTGTTCCTTTCAAGCTTGCTTCCTTCTGCAGAAGAATGCAATATCACTTAATAAATATGTGCTGAGTACCCACCATATGGCAATGCCAGACACTGGGGAAGCAAAGCTATGACACAATTTTTACTTTCAAGGGGCTCAAATATAGTGGAGAAGACAAAACAAATTACAACAGAGCATTAAGTACATTAATAAAAAGATATGCAATGGGCCTACCAAATGTTCCATAAAGTAGAAATGTTTCATAGAATGTATTCAATGGCACTTGTGAGATGGAATGGGGCTTTCAGATAGTAAAGCCTGTATCAGCTGACTTTTTTTTTTTTTTTTTTTTGAGACAGGGTCTCACTGCAGTTGCCTAGGTTGGAGTACAGTGGTATAACTTCAGCTAACTACAGCCTCGACCTCCTGGGCTCAGGTGATTCTCCCACCTTAGCCTCCCAAGTACCTGGTACAAGGTGTACACCACCACACCCAGCTAATTTTTTGGATTTTTTTTTTTTTTAGTAGAGATGCCATGTTGCCCAGGATGGTCTTGAATACTTGGACTCAAGCAATCCTCTTGCTTCAGACTCCCAAAATTCTGGGATTACAGGTATGAGCCACCATGCTTAGCCTCAACTGATTTTTAAAAGTAATTCAAAATAAGATTTACTTCTATGTATTTGGTTGCATTGTATTAAGAAAATCCTGATACTCCCAGATAATACAAGTAACACTCACTATCTGAATTTCTGCTCTCAAAACTCACATTTTCAGACAAATCTCTTGCTATTTGCTACTCTTACTACTTACTATCTGAAGCTGAGAAACAAAACTGACATGAATATAAGAAGTTTACATTCCTTTGCACTGGAATTCACAATGGAAAATTTCTGCACCTGAATTCTGGAAATGAGCATATTTGAATTGTAAGGCATAGTCATATTGGAAATTATAACAGTTCTTTAGTATTCCATTTTATTATCTCATGATATGCCTCAAACTAATCTAAAAGCTTGGAGAAAATGCAGTAGTCAAGAATTTTTATTTCAAATTTTAATCACTAATGATAATCTGACAACTATTTTAGGTAAAAGTCAGAGTATCCAAAATGTAGAGTGGGTAGACATGACCCTCTAACAGAATATATGTCACTAAGTGATGTGCATTGTGTTCACTTATTGTAACTGTTAATCCACACAGAAGCCAACATCCCACAAAGGTTCTGAAGCACTGCTTGGCATGTCATCAAGTGTGCTGAATATGTGTGACAAGAGGAATTTGCCTGTTCAATTTATGATCAGGCTGGACTATGAAAAATACTGGGATGGAACTTCCTAATCAATGATTCATTTATTTATAAGAAGTTCAAATGTATAAGCCCAAATGTATAACCCTGTTTCTACAGAAACAAGGATAAAACCAGGTGTCTAGAGATGAGAGCCAGGAGGATGGTGGTGGGAATAAGACGAGAGAGGTCAAGGGTGGCCACAGCATAGCAGCTTTAAGATCACAGCAAGGCTTTGGCTCCAAGAGAAAAATGGGGAGCTATGAAGAACTTTTCTTCAGGAGCCACACAGCCATCCTTGTATTTACAGACATTTGTGTTGGCTGTTTGGTTGAGCAGAAGCCCTACATGACTTGCCTCAAGAGGAGACTCCCTGACTTCTCAACTCCATTTTGGGCAGTGGTATGCTGCTAAATGTTTAAAAACAGGCTCTAAGGGTGAGGAGCACCAATTTGTAGTGTTTGTTGATTTACATGGTGTAAACTCTCCCACCATGGCTGATTTCAAGCTGCCAGCATGGCTCACTGAACATGGAGTTGTGAAGAGATGTGCATAAACGACTCACAATACTGACTCTAGTCCCAAAGTCACTGTTACCACTGGAACGTTTGAAAATAAGGGAGAATTTTGTAAATCTGATTTGAAATGTGAATGTTATTTTATAAATCTATATAAATGCAGTGTCTCCTATTGGTCTATTACCATTAATCAAATACAGAGTCCAAGACCTTGGATTTTTTTTTAAGAGACAGGGTCTCACTTTGTCATCCAGGCTGGAAGGCAATGGTGTGATCATAGCTCACTGCAGCCCAAACTCCTGAAGAGTTAATACAACAATAATATATTAACTTCATTTAGAGAAAATCCCATTAGTATTAAACTCCAGCTTCCTTTATTCAAAAAAATCTATTTAACTGTAGTTGGGATTCCTCTGTTATTGAATTTTTCTTCTCTTACTATAATTAACATCTTGCGCTCTCAAAAAGTATGCATTAACTAGGATTTGCCATGCACAGTATGTGAGGTTGCTACTCCAAGGGCTCACATAAATCCCAGACAGGCCATCAAGAAATGTGTGTGAATTGCAAGAACAAAAGTTTGAATCTATCTGAAGATGAAGTGAAGTTTGAATAAGGCCTTCATCAATTTGATTTCGCCATTAAGAAACTTTTCTTAGCCTAAAGCAATGTCCCTATTTCTGTCAATGAGATTGCAGTTTGTGAATAACATTTTAAAAGTGCAGTATTTTCTATCTACAAAAAGAAATTCTATGAATTCTTGATACACAGAAAATGTTTGCAACTACCAGGAGTCTGCTCCATGCATTCTCCCGTCTGCATGATCCCTCTGCAGTGTACCACCCACACTCAGACCCTGGGCAGCCAGATCAGCAAATGTGCACAAGCCTGCACTCCTGTCAAACAATGGGGTCTTTCAGGCCTTACAATCTTGTGAAGAAACAGGCTGAAACGTCATGGGAAAAATTAGGATATATTGGAGGAAAACAGCTCACAAAATGAGGGGTGGAACCACTTGCTCACATGTTCTAATTTCTGAACAAAGAGAAACAACAGTGACAGCCCCCTGCCTGCTCTGACCCTTCCATTTCAAAAGAGAGGCATCTTAACCCCTTTTTCTTTTCTTGGGGATTACAGCAGCAAGATGTAGACAAGACAGAATTAGAAATTTTTGAACCTAAAGAAGCAGAGTTAATTTCAAAAGCTTTACCCTCAAGAGAAGCATAATAACCAACCCATCTTACTAGCCTTGTTTGGTGATCCGAAATACCAACATAATTACAGACTAGCAATCAGCTAGACTTCAACAACCACACAAAGTAAAACAGAAACTCCTGATAAATCCTTTTTCTTTTTAAAGCTGTTCCAAAGTATTTTTGCTATTAAATCTCATGCAATAGCTAGCTCTATTCACTTCAGCAATCCTTCCTCATTATCTGCTATACCCAGTTTATACTTCTCATACCAGCCTAGCTAGCTGGCCTAGTGGCCGGCAATATTCCATTTGCCATCCCCAGCCTTTATCAAGAATTGTTCCACTTGTAAATTACCTGTCTCATTTTATCCACCAAATAACATCTCTCTCCATTTAAAAACCTATTTAAGACTTACTGCAAAAATGATTTCTAGAATAATCCAGTACATTTGCACACGTGCCAACAAATTTACACTTCTGCCTTAATATACTTTTATAATCCAGCTATATTTTCCAGTTGATTATGTTAATCTGACTTTACTAAAAATCTCTGTGGATAAAGTCTGAGTCAATTCTTATTTACATAATCTCCAACTTTCTACCATATCACTACCTATCTGTTAGATGTTATTAGCTGTTAAACACTATAGGCATGTCAGCTGCTGTCTCCCAGCAGTGAGTCTGATGGTCAGCCATTTTGGGAAAAGAACCGTAGGTGGTTTATTATTATAAAGCATTATGTGGAAGAGGTGTTTACTTCACTCTTGGAAGGAAAAAAAGCAACATGTATTAAAACCATAAAAATGTTTTTAGGCTGGCCATGGTGGCTCACACCTGTAATCCCAGCACTTTGGGAGGCCAAGGCAGGCAACTAATTGAGACTAGGAGTTCGAGACTAGCCTGAGCAACACAGTGAAAAGAAACTCTGTCTTGACTAAGATTATAAAAATTAGCTGGACTTAGTGGCACACACCTGTAATCCCAGCTATTCAGGAGGCTGAGGCAGGAGAATTGCTTGAACCCAGGAGGTAGAGGTTGCAGCGAGCTGAGATGGCACCACTGCATTCCAGCCTGGGAGACACAGCAAGACACGGTCTTAGAAAAAAAGTTTTAAAAGGTAAAACAACATAAAAAGAAATATTCTATAGTGGAAATAAGAGAGTCAAATGAGGCTGAGAACTTTACAAGGGGATCTTACAGACATGTCGCCAATATCACTGCATGAGTCTAAGTATAAGAACAACCTTTGGGGAGAAACCATCATTTGACAATGAGGTGCAATTCCAAGTCAGGTAGTGAAATGAGTGGAATTAAATGCAAATTAATCATACCAGCTGAAATGCAAGAGACACTATCAGAGAGTTAAAAAATGAGTTTTATCCATGAGGTGATTCCACAGTCTTCTCAAGTCAATACATCTGTGAATTCACAAACCAAGTTCTTAAACCACTGGTTCAAACTCTGCTGCACATCAGAATCACCTGGAGAGCTTTATAAACTCCCATT